ACCGCACATTTTGAGGGAAAAAAAAAGACGTTTAAGTGCGCCTTATAGTCGTGAAAATACGGTAATCTATGGTCGCAAAAAAATACTTCCTCTGAATTATCTGTAAATTTAAACTCTTTCTGATGAATCAAAAGTATGTTCAGACTTCCCAGGAAGTTCTCTACAAAAATGGTAAACTGGTTATTAGCTTTACTTTGCTGCTCTTAGCTCTCATTTATCCATCAGACGGCTTCAATTGCAGAAGAAGGAAAAGTTCAAGAAACAGTGACTCACTGTCCAGTTAGTTTCGTTATAACACTGTAAGCCCGATTCTCTTAAAGTAGACAAAACCCAACACTCTTCAGTAAGGAAGTCATTGGTGCAGGAGGACGACTCAGTCCATTATCACAGGTTTCACAGAGGAAGTGTAGGGTAAGGGTAAATGCCCTGAAAGTTCTTTTTTTTTTTTTTTTACTTTAGTAACTCAGCTCCAAATAGCTCAGAAAGACTTCAACTAGTTGGGCTCAAAACTATTCATACAGCTGGCTTGTTTAGGTTTAAAGTTTGCCCAACTTGTTTCTTCTGACCAGCAACAAATTGACCTTTCTGGAGTGACGCTTTAAACTTTCAAAGAGTTATGGCAAAAAGATTTTCCAAACTCTAAAATCTTAATCTAATTGAGGACAGATTGAAACATACCAGTATAAACAGAAAAACAAAAAACCTTGTTGAAAACTAAAGGGGGCCTTCCAGGAACAGGTTAGGAACCACTAATCTGAGCAGCCAAAGTCTCCCTTTGAGAGGAAAGCCGCTCAACAGCATGATGCTGCAAACCTCCATCTGAACACTTGGACTTGTCCCCAGATATAACTATAAACTCATTACTGTGACTTATGGACATCAACTTTTGAAATTTCAGCAGTTTTTATATGATCACATGTATTACAGTTAAGCAGAGACCAACAGTTTTATATATATATATATTTTTTAAGGTCATTGCTGATAGATTATTTTGACATCAGTCTAACCAATTCCTGATGTGTACTGTGATTTAAACCCTGTTTACTTTTGTTCCTCCATTTACATGATGATAATAATAATAATAATAATAATAATAATAATAATAATAATAATAATAATAATAATAAATGTTACACCAGTTTCAATTTAAACAAAAATACTTTCTGATTAAGTTTATAGTTGGAGTGACTCAGGTTATTCTGAACTAACCTGTAGTTATGCCGTTATAGGCTTAGGCTGCTGGAGGACCTAGTGACTACTTTTCCTCTCTCTGCTATTTTTTACTTCTCTCTCTAATTTTGCAATTAAGTCAAACAACAAATTAATAATGCATGTGCTTCGTTTCATCTTTGAACATGGCTGCTGAATGCACTGATGAATTAGTGAATGCATGCATGCATCGGTTAATACCAATACAAGAAAAAAAAAAAAAAAAAACGAAATCCGATGTCAGCCAAAACATTTATGTCTGAATATCGGCCTGCCTACCTGTCCAGGCAATGGAAAACTCATACACTTTGCTTCAATCTGCTTTTGTTCCAAATGTATGTATTTTCATTGATAGCTGATTAACGGGCTTTTTGCTGAGCTGCAATTATCAGAATCAACTGCAGGGAAGCCTCTAAATCCTGCAAAGGACTGACAATTGGACATGCCTGCATTAAGGACTATGAATTAGCAAGAATTTAGCAATACAATGCGTATTGCAATAGATGTGTCACAATATGATTTATCTCGATATTCGCCGTACATTATCAAAGATGATTTGATTTTATAATAATTTAGCTCTGAAAACCTCATGAGATCTTGTTGCTCTGCTCGGGTGGTGCAGATCAACTGAATAAATGGTTCTTGGGCGGTGCACTGCCAACTAGTGGCTGGAGGATTGAGAGTGATAAAAAAGTGAGACAATAAAAAAAAAAAAAAAAAAAAAAGACAGTTGCCTAAAAATATTTTTCACATTTGCGCTATATTTAAAAATCAATATCAATAGTGTTTCATATCGCAAAAAAAAAAAAATTATAATAAAAAATTCTTGCATCCCTAAAAACCAAAGATAATTTTTTTAAAGGATGCATTTTCTATTGTCCTTGAAGTCACTATTAACTACCATGGCTGGATAATTGGCTGTAGAATGTTAATATAAAACTAGCATCAATATGTTGCATAACTACAGTCATTTAATAGCAGTCCTAGTAAAGATTAGCTGGGATCGAAAATAATTGCTACCCTTAATTGACTTTTAGATCTAAATCACATTTTTTTAAAATACCTGTTTTAAACTGGTGCTACAATAACATGAACTCAAAAGTCACCCCCTCTTGAGCTAAGGATAATTCAAAACAGCCGAAGAGGTTTCAACGCCTGGCTCAAGCCGTTCAAGCCGTGTAACCCATTCTTTGTGAGCGTGTCCCGCTTTCTCAGCTGTGTGATGTAAGCGCGGTTGTGTCGGTCCCGTAGGGAGGCCACTTATGATATAACGCCGCAGGGAGCAGCGTCTCACCTTAATTCTGATCTGGGCCGACTCATTTAGAAATGGGACACACTTTCAGCGGCCTTATTAGAGCCGTTACACAACAGCAGAAAGAAGGTGAAGCGATTATGTAAAGTTCATCTCCTGTTGAAAAGCAAAACAGAAGGAAAAGGAAAGCAGGCGTAGAGGTAAACACTGACCTTTGATGGCGGACTCCACTCGTTCAAACTCTAAGAATATCCTGACAGCTTCATCATCAGGGACCTCAGCGATCTGCGTTGGGAAAAATAAATATTTATCTTTGTTTTTCATCCCTTTGGTTTGATTGTCTCTGGCTTATTATATTAACCATACCTCAAAAATGACACATTTGACCACTTTGCCGTATTTCTCACACTCTTCTTTCGTCTCCCCCTCCAAGTCTTCGTCCACCTCTCCTCGACCTACCATGTTCTGCAAAAACAACCAGAAATTTCAGATTTCATTTAGTCAACAATCTGGCATTCAATCTTATTTAATGGAAGAATGATACAAAATGACAAACTTACCCTCAGGAGAACTACTTTGGTCGGGTTTTTCAGGATCTCTGTCAGCGGATTGGCGTCCGACTTCTTGGAAGGGTCTGTCATTAACCAGAAACGGAGAACAAAACAACATTTACTGAGTGATAGAGATATTTACTCAACACCTGAGATGGATGAAGCCACTCAGATCATGTTTAGTGATAGCTGCGCTGAAACAAGGTGAACTTTTGTGAAATAACACTAAATTGAATAACAGAACTGCTTTTATTGTCTAACATCACGGCTGGATTTGGACTCTATTATAGTTCTGAAGGTGTGTGTGTGTGTAAGTGGGGGGGGGGGGGGGGGAATAAAAACAATATTCAAGCAAGTTAAGAAACTTTCATCTGGACGTCATATTAAGGTCTTTTTTTCAATGAAGATCAAGGCAGGTTTTATTCAGTGCATTTGGTATAATTCTTCAAGACTCAAGCTTTTGATTTTCTCTTGCTTTACATACAGATATCAATGTTCCAGAAAGAGATGCACAAAAAAAGTTCATGAAACTTAAACATGTCATGCTTCTATGATAAAAAACATTGTAACAATAGAATGACTGAATTGACCCTGAATATAAAGGCTGTTTGTGTCGGAGCAAAGTTGTCCTGTCTACAAACAACTGTTTAACTGTCAGGGAAAAGGCAGGATATGGAAATGTCAGTTTTAGACATTCTTTCAATTAAAGCAGCACTCAGTAATTTATCGAGCGGCATTCCCCCTACAGGCCATTTTGAAAATAAAAACTGACTGCCCCATTTGCTGTGGACCCCACCGCTCTGGCAAGCTGTCAAACTCTCAAAGCGAATGCATGTCACCCCGACATGTCTGAAGTGTGTTGTTATAGTTAGAGTGGCTCAGGTTATCCTGAGTTATACCTAAAGTTATGCTGCTATAGACTTAGACTGCTGGAGGACATAGAGACCTCTTTTTCTCTCTTCTATATTATTTGTTAGTTTGAGCTCTAACTGCTTTTCTTGTCACATTAGTTTAATCTGGCCTGACTGGCAGTGACACCATCCTGGAGAAAGGAATGAGCTGGGCTGCTGCCCTAAACATCTTCAATTATAGATGATGGAGTCGGGCCCATTTCTCAATGTTTAGTTTCTCCACTAGACGTAGGTATGGGTCAGGTTATACTGTGCCTGCTCATTGTAAATGTAATCTCGCTCTGAATATCTTCAATTGATAAGGACGGTTAAGCCACAGCGGAGGTGCATTCATGGTTGCCACATAAGTGCTTTATGAACAGTGCTGCCAGTTAGAAAGGAGCCAGGGTCAGTGAACAGTATGCTTCCTAGCGCCAATGCAGTTAGCATAGAGACCTACTGCTGGTAAGAGCTATACGGCTGCCCATGAGGAAGTATGGGCCCCGACTTACGGATTTTAGAAAAACATTATTTTGTGAGATATACTGTGTGTGACACATGCTAATGTACACACTTTCCTATTAGCTAATCGCTAACACAGACCAATTGCACTTTCACACACACAGTAAAACGTCTAACGTCATTAAGTAGTTTATCACCCCTGGAAGGCTAAGACCCTTTTTACTATTAATGAAAGGGCTCTAAAGCTAAATAATAAAAAAAAAATGCTCATGTTTGGTATTGCTTAGCTTAGTCAAAATGTTTCTCCAACAGTTCAACCTAAAAAATATGGCGTGGCGAAATATCAGCATCAAGTAACAGCTTGATTTCATTATGGATTGTAAAGGCTGCTTAATCCTTACAATAGAGTTTTCTTAAGATTCAGTGTTTCTATAACAGAAAGATGATGAGAGGAACCTTTGGAGCAATGCAAGACAACCAAGCGACAAGCAATGAGCTATAAAAGCCTGCTACTGTTAAATATTAACTCGATAACGGCCCTAAACCTTTAATACATACTTTGGTTATCTTTTTATCATTGACTATCTGCTTCAGTTATTTACTTAGACTTAATTAACTGACATTGCCTGTTATCAGCAGATATGAGATTTAGGGTTTTTCGGTCACCTTGACAATTTTTTTCAAAGCTGGTTATTTAAAAAAAAAAAAAAATCTCGGATTTGTGGTTTTCATGTTCCCAACTGAAGAGCTTCAGCATCTCTGAAATCAAAACAAATGTGGACAAAAATCACAACATTTGGCAGATAGAAAAATAAATCATCTGTAAGCAGAGATAGAATAAATGGCTCCTATAATATTATAACCTACCATATAATACGCTATGGGCAAGCTCACGTTGCAGACACCAAACCTGTAATGATCACTGTGGTTGGGCTCTTTATTTGAAACTAACTTATAATTTTTTTTTTTTTTTTTTAAATAAAAGTCTGAGGTAAGACTTGAACCTGCAGGAGTTTCCTGGGGGAATGACCTGCACCTGTTCCGACTCACTGTGACCCGTGTTTTTCCACAAGTTTTATTTTAAGACCAAAAGACCCCATGTATGTAAAGACAAAGGCTCAC